TAAATTTAATCTCAAACTACTTTAAAAACTATTTTGTTAAGTAGTCATTTCCTATTCTATTTGAGCTTGGGCTATTTTCCATTATTTTAATGATTTACATATACTAAACAACCTTGCCAGAGGAGAACACCAACAGAGCTCAACCACCAATTTAATATATGTTAAATACTTTAAGCTTTATATAGGGTGTCTCAAAAAATGTGTACATACTTTAACAGCTGATAGCTCAATTTTGAAAATAAAATGTATTTTTATAAACACTGCCTTTATAACTTTTCAAAGTGTATGTATGCATTTTGGGGGACAACCTATATATAAACAAGCTATTGCTATCTTATTAAGTTTCATAGATTTTTAAAATCATACCTATTATAGTAAAGATACAATCTTAGGCACTTACAGGAGATTTGAAGTCTTGACAATCAAAATTGTTTTCACTTTTATTTATTGACTAGAGGTCCAGTGCATGAAATTCATGCTCTGGGGGGTGTCCCTCACCCAACCTGCACCCTCTTCAATCTGGGACCCCTCAGGGGATGTCTTACTGCTGGTTTAGGCCCGATTCCATGGGTTTAGGCCCATGGGATCAGGCCTAAACCGGCAGTCGGACATCCCTCTCACAATCCGAGACTGCTGGCTCCCAATCGCTCCCCTGCATGCCTGCCTGATTGCCCCTAACCAGTTCTGCCTGCCAGCCTGATCACCCCCTAACCACTACCCTGCCAGCCTGATCGACGCCTAACTGCTCCCCACCAGCCCGATCATCCCCAACTACCCACCCTGCCAGCCCAATTGCCCCCAACTGCCCTTCCCTGCTGGCCTGGTCACCCCTAACTGCTCTCCCCTGCCAGCCTGGTTGCCCCTAATTGCCCTCCCTTGCAGGCCTGGTCCCCGCCCCCCCACAACTGCCCTCCTATGCTGGCCTGGTCGTCCCTAACTGCCCTCCCCTGCTGTCCTGATTGCCCACAACTGCCCTCCCCTGCTGGCCATCTTGTGGCTGTGGGCACCACCATCTTTGAGGGTGGGGCAGTGAATTAGCATAGTCCCTCCTTATTGGCTGTGGTCACCGCCATCTTTGAGGGTTTGGCAGTCAATTAGCATATTCCCTCCTTATTGGCTGTGGTCACCGCCATCTTTGAGGGTGGGGCAGTCAATTAGCATATTCCCTGCTTATTGGTTGTGGGCACAGCTATCTTTGCAATGGCGTGAAGGTCAATTAGCATATCCCCTCTTTATTAGTTAGGAGGAGAAAGATAGATGGATTTGTTGTTCCACTTATTTATACATTCATTGATTGATTATTATATGGGCCCTAAGGCAGATATTTAAATGTGATTATCCAACTGTAATATTAATTTAGAAGATAGCATTTCTAGAAAAATATTACTAATTTTAACTGTGTTTTAAATTTGTAAAAACTGATCTAACATTTTCACAGAATGAAGCAAAATATATGACAATGCACAAATCAAAATATTTAATAGAAAGTTATGGCATGCAATCAGTCAAGCAATATTAGCTTGAAAAGTTATACAATCCCATTGAAAAGTCTATTTTTCATAAAACTACCTTCCTTCCTCAATTCTTTCTTTCCTACCTTCCTCTTTCTTTCCTTTCCTGCTTTCGTTCCAAGGCTGCATTATATCCCACTGTGTGAATGCCTTACAATTTATCCATCTATTTTCATATTGGACCATGAATCCATTTTTAGTATTTTTCCACTATACACAGTGCTTCAAATAAATAATTATACATATATTATTAACTACTTGTCACTCTATGTCTGTGCAATGGATTTCAAAAAGCGGGTTGCTGGGTCAAAGAGTACATAAATTGTCATTTTAATTGATATTGCCAGAATATTTTGAAAATGATAGTTGTTCTCACCAAAATGTTAATTATTCTCACACACAAAAAAGAAAATGAATACATATAGTAATGGATGAGGAAAGATGTCCTTTCACAATGCATGTTTATCAAATTATTATGATATACACTTTAAATATCTTAGAATTTTATATGGCAATTACATTTCAATAAAGCTAAAAAAAGGTTTTTAAAATTCACATTTTCAACAGTATTGCATTTTCCAATAATTGCAAAATTTCACCAGATGCATTTTTCCTGCATTCAAGCCAACAATTGCAGTTATAGGTTTTAATTTTTTTATGAGTCTAAGAGATATAAATTGATAACTCACTATAAGCTGCCTTCTGACAACTAATAAGTTTAAATATCTTTTCATATTTATTTTCCATTTGAAAACATTCCCTTTGATTTTTTAAGTATTATTTGCTTTGGTTGCTTTGTCTTCTTTTTGGTATTTTTTAAAAGCTCTTTGCATATTATAGATATTAACCTACCTTCTATCCTTTATGTTTCAAATATTCTTCCAAGCACTTCTATTCTCAGAACAGATAGAAATGTGTGAAATAGCACCTCTAAGTCTTGAGCATTCAACAGTACCCTAAACAGAACACCCCTATCTGGCATGAAATTCCCAAAACAGGAGACATAGAATATAATCAATCAAGAAAAAGCTCATGCTTGTTATTTCCTCTATTTGAAAATATGATTAAAAGAAAAGAATGAAATGATAACAGTGCAGAAGGTATTTCAAATCTCTTATTTGTTTTGAGGAGATTCTGTTAGCCTCCCAAAAGGGAGACACAGAACCTTGAATAAAGATACTAACAATCATCTGTGCTAGGAAACCAAGTGGGAATCAGAGGGAAATGCAGAGATTCAGAAGATAAATACAAGCTATAGTGGTATCTGGCCAACCTTGGAAAGCACTGCAGAATTTCCTGAAATCTCTCAAAGGTCCACAAACCCCACACAAGCAGTGACTGGCCTCAGAATGCCCATACCTCTTACTAAGTGGCCCCAATTCTGGCACTAGTAGCATCTGGACTGTTAACCGCATAACCACTCCTAAGCTTCTCTAAGCACAGGCAACAACTAACTGCAGATCACCTTGTAACTCATGCCATGTAGCTCCAGACCATAGACAGCAGCTGACCCTGGCCTGCACATGAGCCCTTCCCAAGAGGCCCCAGAACCAATATAACTGGTGGCCAACTTCAGATCACCCAAGTTGTGCCACAAATGGCATACCCAAAGGGTGAAGTCAGCAAACACCAGAGCCCTGATAAAGCAAATTCTACTCCGTAGGGTCAGCCCCTGAACTATATACAGCTCATCTGCTATGTCATGGCCAATCCTCACAGCCAGTTAGTCTGAGGGTCAATCCCACCCACTGATGTGCCAACAGTAATCATGGCTCAACAAAAATGGAAGGGCACATACAACACACACAAGGGACACACCTGAGACACCTAGGTCACTGTGCAACTGGGCCCACAGGACAGCTATTACATAAGGCCACTCTGCCAAGACTGGGAGATGTAGCAAATCTACTTAATACACTGAAACAAACACAGGGAGGCAACCAAAATGAGAAGACACAGAAATATGTCCCAAATGAAAGAACAGGACAAGACACCAAGTGGAAAAAACAAACAAACAAACAACGAAACAAAATTGAGGCAAACGATCTATCAGATACAGAGTTCAAAACACTGGTTATAAGGATGCTTAATGAACTTAGTGGATAATAGATGAACTCGGGGAGAACTTCAACAAAAAATAGGAAACATAAAAAAGGAGATAAAAAACATAAAGGAAGAACCAGTCAGAAATGAAGAATACAATAATTGAAATAAAGAACATATCAGATGGCATAAACAGCAATTAGATTAAGCAGAGAATTGAATCAGCAATTCGGAAGGCAAGGTAGTGGAAAACACCCAGTAGGAACAATAAAAAGAAAAAAAATAATTTAAAAAATGAGGATGGTTTGAGGGACCTCTAGGACAATATCAAGCATAACAATATTCACATCATACCAGAAAGAGAAGAAAGAGAGCAAAGAACTGGAAACATATTTCAAAAATTAGTGACTAAAAACTTCCCTTACATGGTAAAGACATCTTAGATCAGGAAGTGAAGAGAGTCCTAACAAGAAGAATCCAAAAAGTCCCACACCAAGACACATCATAATTCAAATGCTGAAGGTTAAAGATAAAGACATTCTTGAAAGCAGCAAGAGAAAAGCAGTTCCTACAAGGGAGCTTCTATAAGAATATCAGCTAGCTGAGTTTGCAACAGAAAGTTTACAGGCCAATAGGTATTGGCACAAAATATTCAAAGTGGTGAAAAACAAGGACCTACAACCAAGATCACTCTACCCAGCCTTGCTATCATTTCGAATCAAAGGACAATAGAGTCCCAGACAAGAAAAATATGAATAAGTTCATCAACACCAAACCAGTATTACTACAAATGTTAAAAGGACTTCTTTAAGAAGAAAGGATAAAAAATATGAATAAGAAGATATAGGAAAGAAAATATTTCTCACTGAAAAAGGTAAACCACATAATAAAAACAGTGGATCAACCAATACTAAAGCTACTTACAAAGTTTAAAAGGCAAAAGTAGGAAAATCATGTGTCATTATAACAGTAAATTAAGGGATACTCACAAGCACTCACCACAGAAGTAACAAGTAATGGCAAAAACATAAACATGAAGGGGGTTAGTAAAAATGGTAGTGATTTTACAATGTGTTCCATCTTAAATGGCCATCAATTTAAATAGATTTTAGCTGATATTCATGAGCACATGGTAACCACAAACAAAAAATCTACAATAAACGTACAACAAATAAAGAGAAAGGAATAAAAAACAACACTACAGAAAGTCATCAATATTTAAGAGAAGAGAACAAGAGAATAAGAAAGGAACAGAGAACTACAAACACAATCAGAAAACAATTTATAAAAGAGCAATAACTACAAACATATTAATAATTACTTTAAATGTAAATGGATTAAATGTTCTAATCAAAAGATGAATGGATAAAGAAGTGGCATATATATATACAATGAAATATTACTTGGCCACAAAAAAAGAATAGAACAATATAGATGAAACTAGAGGGTATTATGTTAGTTGAAATACATCAGACAGAGGAATACAAATACTTTATGATTTCACTTATATGTGAAATATAAAAAGCAAAATAAATGAACAAACAAAAAACACTCATAGATACTGAGAAAAAAACTGATGGTTGAGAGGGAGGTTGCGGGGGATGGGTAAAAAAGGTGAAGGGATTAAAAAGTACAAGTTGGCAACTGCAAAATCATCATGGAGATGTAAAGTAGAGCTTAGGGAATATAGTCAATAATATTGTAGTAACTACCGTATTTTTCCATGTATAAGACACTATTTTTTTCTGAAATTGTTAGACTGAAAATTGAGGGGCATCTTATACATGGAAGTCATCCAAGGAGGGAGACACTCGAGTGCATAGCTGCCCATATCTGTCAAACAGACTTCCTCCAATCATGAGCCTTATTGTTACTAACGTCAGCTGATGCCATAATTGGAGGTGGAGGTG